TATATACATACCGGTATATATATATATGCAGATTTTTTTCTTTTTTAGGAAAACCCCCAGGACCACCCCATGACTTAATAATTTTAATAGTTTATATCAAGGCAGTCAACAAACAAATAGAGAAAATGCTGTATATTTTTGTTTCAGAATTTTGTAATTTTGTAAATCTTACAATGAAATTTGCCTTTGGGATAAAAATGTAAGTTGTCCACAGTGCTAAACATGTGTAATATTGCTTCTTTTTTGCTTCTTAGTCCACCTGAGTAGGCCAGTATGTGTTGACGTGCCATCGGATACAGAAGCAGTGCTGGGAAACTCCATGAAGCTGACATGCATCTCCTGCCTGAAGAGGGAAGAGGTTAAAGTAGACACACATGTTATTTGGTACTTCACGCCAACAGAAACCCAAAACAAGACAAAAGTAGGTTTCAAGACATATTGTCTATAAAATATACAACCTCTTTTTTGCGGATTTATTTTTTGCATGCTAACAATGTAATTTTCTTGATTTTTTCTTTTCACTTAGATTTTCAAAGTTGAGAACGATGTCAAGGAACCTATTGATGGGCATTTTGATGGCCGTCTTACCTGGAACGGTAGCAAAGACCTGCAAGATTTGTCCCTTTGGATTTTAAATGTCTCAGAGAGGGACCACGGTTTCTATGAGTGCGAAGTTATTAGAACATTTGATTTTGGAGCCTTCAAGCCTAAAGCTAGAAGGAATATAAACTTCACTCTGACTGTGAAAGAAAAAGGTATGTTTATGTCCTTGGTTTTTTATTGTAAATAAAAACCAGAAACTTAAATTACTGTACAAAAAGATTAAGTTATATTTCCTTCTACTGTGTAAATCTAAACTTTTATTGTTGTAGATCTAATAAGATTAGCAATTCTGTTTTTTAAATGCCAGAATAAGGGAGCAGATGTTTTCCTGGTTTCTTTTGGAAACTACATGTACATTTTTTTTTACGTTATAAGCTTCATTTCAACAACTTAGATATATACCAAAAATGCATGAGTTTAAAGGAAACATCTAAAACACACTGCTTGCTTGTGTAGCACCATGATGAAATCAGAAGAAGGGTACAAATAGAATTGTGAACATGCACAAGTATTTCACACTTTGAAACAATAAGATGCAAGTATAAGATCTTTGTAAATTTCACAATAGTCTGTGTCTCAGAGGTTAAACTGAATTAGTTGGAGCTGTGTATCAACCTAGTGACAAAAGTAAGACATTAAAAAGAGGCTAGCAGTAACTGATTATTATAAGTATGTGTTTAGTTGATTATCCACAGTAAAATAAAAATCCTCTCTCAACTTTGACTGAAAGGCCACACAAAGAATGATAAACTATTTCAACCTGGAGAGCTTGACACACACAGATTAGTTGCAGTTAGAAAATATTCAATTTATTTATACAGTTCACTCCATAATATTATATAAATATTTCTATCTAAGGAAAACAAGTTGATTGCAAAGACTCATTGACTCTCTGTAATCCCTCTCACTGAGCATGCATGTAGCGACAGTGGAGAGCAAACCTCCATTTAACAGGAAGAAACCTCCACCAGAACCGAGCTCAGTGTGAGTGGCCCTCTGCCGAGGCTGACTGGGGTTCAAAGAGACAGAAGCAGATGAAGAAACAAGAACTCAGGCCCCGGCAGAAGACTTTGAAGCTTTGAATCAGCATTTTATTTGATGAGTAACCTAGAAAAGGATTATAGTAATCTTCCCCCAGGAGCCGGACACTGGTGGTGCAATAAGCCAGAGGAGGAGTGAGACTGAGAAAGAAGGAGGAGATGGAGAGAGAAGCTGAACCAGGAGCTTAATAAAGGGGAGCTTGCAAGATGTTTGGCTTTACAGAAGGTGTGGCCCCCAAGCTGATTGGCTGGTGCTGAACGAGGGGCATCGCAGGTGGTTCAGGTGAAGCTGATAAGTCTTAGAGGTTTATTATACACTTAAGCTTCATTACTCAGGAAGTATAATTTCAAAAGCTAGATTTAGGTCAGCAAATTGGGTAAAATTTTATTTGAAGCGGTGTGCATAAGAATGACATTTCAAAGCCATACACATAACATAACACCTGTCATGAACATCAAGGACTTAACAACAACAGTTTTAAGCATTTATAAAATGTCATTTGGTTAATCATGACATCTTTAATGTAAAATTCACTTTGTTTGAAATATCTTTGCAATTACAACTTGACCTTAACACAGCCAAATATGTCTTTGTTATGACCACTCCACATACAAAAAATATTTATCTCATTATTCTGGCATTTAGTAATTTTGCTAATCCTTGCTAAGCTAAAAGTCTTGATTTTATTCTACAGTATGGAAAAAAAGTTAAACGGTTATGTTTCTTTTTTTTATACAGTCTGTGTTAACAGCTGTGTTTTAACCTAAATGGTATCTCAGAGTTTATAATATGTGTTACAACTATGATTTTCTGTATGCTTGTATTACAATATGATTTGATCTAGCTGCTGTTTACTAAAATTATTTTAGTGAAATTTAATCAAGGCTGTACTGTTTAGGTGCAGTACAAAAGCGTGTTGACATCTGTTCACAGAGTCCTTTCACGTGCTCTTTCTCCTCTTCATCTGGTTCTAAAGTGTTTATCTGCCATCATGACTTGCTTTTCAATTATAAACTCAGCTTGTTCTTTTTGCTAAGTGATGCATTACTGTGAAAGCAGTCTGCCACTAGCAATTCCTCAGTATCCCAACAAATGTGTTTTGTTTTGTCTGCCTTTATTTTCTATTAAAGCATACTTCTGTTGTCAGGGAAGAGCTTATTTCAAACCAGCAGATACTGTTTAAAACTGGGTAATGTATTTTGCTTCCCGAATGTCTGGCCTGCTGAGTGTTTTATTTTCCACAAAAATCAAATATACACATCAAAATGTATATTTGAAATAACGGAATTATTTCCATTTTTCCATTTTTTTTTTAAGCTGGCATATGGTAGAATTTTGATTAAGAAATATATATAGAAGAAGCATATAGAAGTACACATTGTTGTTTTTCACCTATGTATGCTGATGTGCACGCACATTGAAATTTTACTCATATTTCACACCCATGGTATCAAATTTCAGAAAGCTTTTTCAGTAATGTTTATTAACCATCTACAATATATTAATGTAATGCCATGGCGGCAAAGTGGAAAAGCTTGTGATCAAAGCATCTGTGCGCTCCCATCCAAGGGATTATGTTACAAAAACAGCCTATTTGGAAGGGATGGGAAAAATCAATCTAAAAATATGTTGGTTTTCTTCTCTTGAGGTTTTCTGGAATTTGGTACAAACCCACAGTGGGTAAAAAAAGAAAACATCACATGAGGAATAGCTTTACTATATTATTTTTTCTTTATTTATTATTATATATCTATTTTTTTTTTTACAATTGCCAAATGCTTGCATGTGTTTTCAAGGAGATATAGCTTATCATAATATTTATTTTTTTATAATGCATTTCATATACACACAATGTATTTTTACGAGGATTTAAAATACAATGATTTTTTACTAGGATTATGTGTGACAGACAAACAAAATGAGTGACAAATATTAAGTAAAAGAAAATGAATATATTATGCTGTTTATATACAATTTTTTTTACAAATTAAAATTTTAGGTGGGACATGCATTTTTGTCATTCTGTTAACTTAACTTGACATACCGCCTGTACAACAAATATGTATACTTCTACATTGTAGAAGACTATTGACTCACATGTTCTCCCTCTAGCTGTGGATAGGCAGCACCTTAATAATAGGAAGTATGGGGTCATCTTGTGCGTATAAGTGTTAAATCGGTTAATATAAACAATATATAAACAAACTTCAGAATTTTAAAACAACAGAACTACATTTTTATTTGCATTAAAACATATATCATGTCCCCTCTTGTTTAAAATCAAACACTCTGCTGAGTTTGTCAGTCACACTTAATCACCTAAAATACATTGAAATCAGTGGTCATAAATTTTTAATTTATGAAACAGTTGAAGGAGTTTGAATACCTTTGCAGTGCACTTCTGTCTACATTGTTTGTGCTCGCTAGCAATCCTGATGATTTTTTAATGTATAAACAAACAAGATTGTAGGCATGAGTAATACCTTCTCTTCTATAAATTTTAAAACAGTGAATGATCACAGTACACAGAAACTGTTCTTTACTGCATGTTCAGCTGGGAATGATAACTGTTTTCAAACAGTATTTACATCTAAGAATAAAAAAGAAACCTGATGCAGGAATCACTGTAAGTTTGCACCTCCATCCTGTATAATATACAAAGACACTTTGTGCAGCTTTTTCATATTTCATTAAGCAGGTTTTTTCTTCACCTGCAAATAACTTTGATAGCTCTCTGCAAGGTACCTTTTTTTTTACCTCTTTAGGTTATGATATATGGTATATATTAAAAATTATACATATGTTTATCATATTATGTACTGTATGTAACCTTTTAAAGGTATTGTTTCAGGTTAATCTAAAACTGAAGTTATATTGACATGGAAAGCATGAATTCACATAAGATTAGCTGCAGCAGTGTTTGACCAAACCTTCTTGCAGCGATGAATGTGATGCTTCAAGAGGTAACTGAAATATCATTGTCAGGAAAAAAGTTAAACTTCAAAAGGAGACACTCCTGTAGCTGAATAAATATGGGAATTGTATGCATACTCTACCCAGGGAAGATATCTTCATTCTTTTCAGCAAGGTATAACCTTCAGGAAAAGAAGGCATAGGGATGTAGTTTTCCATGATTGTCCAAACATTGAGAGAATGTTTAAGAAGCATCTACCTCCAGAACAAACTGTGTGGAGAGGGAATTTGATTGTTTTCCTTGTGGTGCCCTGTGGAGATTGCTTCAGGACTACAGGGTTGGGGGCCTATTACTTGGGGCCATTTGGTCACTGTACAAGCAAAGCTTGGGTTTCCTCCACATTGTGGGCATTAATGCGAACATGTTCCCAGTGCATGTTGGACTCCAGCAGGACTGTTCTCTGACACCGGTCCTGTTCATAATCTTAATGGACAAGATTTCTTGGTGCAACCAAGTGTCTGAGGGGTCTGGTTAGAAACCTGTGGAATTTGTTCTTGTTTTTTGTGGATGCCATGCTTCTGCTGGTTCCCTTATGCTAAGAACTACTGAATACACGGACAGAGGCAGATTGCAGCACAGTGCGAAGCAGTCAGGATAAAGATTGACTCCTCCAGGTCCCATGCCAAGGTTCCCAACCGGAAAAAGGGTGGCTTGCATGCTTCATGGAGAGTTTCAGCTACAAGTAGAGGAGTTTAAGCATATTTAGGTCCTACTGACGAGGGGGCAGAATTGAGTTGATAAATAGCAAGATCTGTGAAGTTGCCACTAAAATGCAGATGCTGCTCTGGTGTCCTGTGGTGAAGAAAGAGTTGAGCCAAAAAGCAAAGCTCACAATGTAGCGATAGGTTTATGTTTCTGCACTCATCTATGGTCTTGAAATCTAGAACATGACTGAAAGTATTTGATACAGGGTTCAAGTGGCTGAAGTGAACTTTAACTGCAGGATGGCCAGGTATTCCCTTAAAGATAGGGTTAGGAGTTTGGTTATTCAGGAGAGGCTCTGAAAAAGTATTCAGCTGAGGTGGCTTTGACATCATTTTTGGATGCCCTCTGGACATCTCCCTCAGGCGGTGTTCCAGGCCTGTCCCACTGGGGGGAAGACCCACAGGATGGCCCAGGACCCACTAAAGGGTCTATGTCTCTTGGCTTGCCTGGGTACACCTCAAGCTTCCCCCAGCAGAGCTGGAAGTGGTGTCTGGAGAGAGGGAAATCTGGTAGTGTCTGCTGAGACTGCTGCCTCCTAGATAAGAGGAAGTCAAGATGATAACGAGTGTGTTGGAACTAATTAAAAAAAACTGTAACATGGTGTTTATATTTGCATTGAGAAATCTGTCTATAGAGTGTAATTTTGAAACTGGGTGATTTGTGGTCAAATAAATTCTCACAAATATATATATATATATATATATATATATA